TGATTTTCACACTCGGGGCGCACAATTGCGCGTATCTTCATTATTCATTGAAAGTTTTTTCATCGTTTCGTAGAAATTCATAGATTTTACATGATAGAATTCTGGAAGAAACTTTGTTATATCGCTAATGGTCCAAACTTTGAATATTGATGTTAAGCAATTTTAATCTTTGCGGTCATACCTTTCATTTGAAGTGTTCTTAAGACCATGCTTAAATTTCAATACCCCTAGTAATTATTTTTTGAGTCATGCATGTAGTCTGTTGTAGTCAACTTGTAGAGCCCGATACACTTTTTCGACCTTGACAGTCCCGTCAGTTGGGCAGTACTCTCCGTCTTTTAGCCAATACTCTCGCGGGAAGCCCCTCCGCTACAAAGAGATGGCGGTGATGAACTTTTTACATGTTTCATAAAGTGGAAATATGACTGAATGAACATAGCTCACATTCGCTTGCTCTTGGGTGATATCGTTAAATATATCGTGTCTTTCGCTTCGAGTGTTATCGTTAGACAACGCTCGAATTTCAATCTGCCGAAAAAAAATTTTTGAGCCATCTGCGCTGTCTGTTATGGGGCAACTTATCGCGTTCGATTCGTCGTCATTTTCTCTTTATAGGGGTTGTGTTCCTCCGAGAGGATTGGCTGAAATACGAAGTGTACTGCCCGACTTAGGAGACTGCCAAGGTCGAAACACGTGTATCGGGCTCTTTGAGCTGCCTTATAACAGACCACATGCATGACTCAAAAAATAATTATGAGGCACTTCTGGTCAATGAATCTGGTGTTTATTGCTCTAATGTCGAGACTTATAAGAAGACCTAATAGCTACAAAAAGGCCACTTGGTGGTGCGGTGTTAAGGTATTAGTATCGAAAATCATAGAATGCGCATATTCTCGACTTTTCGAGCCATATGTAATCACACTGTTGAAAGGTAATGCATTTGATTTCACGACTTTCGCAAAGAATTCCAACCATAAATGAAAAAACGGCATTGCTGCTTATGCTGTCAGTTTTCATTAAGTAAATTCTTTCGGAAGCGGAACGTAATTGTAATAAGGAGCTCGCCAATGTAAGACTCAGTGCGACCGGTTCATATAACAATTGGTTTATCATGAAACAACAGGGCGACTCAGAACGAGGTAACACTACCGAAACGCAATCCGTTATGCTATTAATATACTTTGTTAGTAATATTCAATAAATACTGTCAACAACATTCTCGAATGTGCTTTGAGAAAGAAACTAAATATCATGCGATAAAATGTTTAAAAAGCAGTAAAAAGTAGAAAAAAACAATGTGGAACGTATTCTGCTCATTTATAAATAACTTTATTATAAATCATTTAAGGATTTTACTCCAGGAATTCTTATCATTATGCTAGCAGCGTATTTCGTAACGCCATCCTCAGCAACTCTGAACAAAAATGGAATATAAGGGACTCAATTGAACATATCGTATTACCATATGTGATCAAAGGAAATTACGAAAGATTGAAATTTTAGAAATGTTCACCTCTTGTTCAACAAATATTTTTTCCATTTTTTGTCACTCAGAAAACAGAAGTGGAATGTTCCTCTACCTCTTCGAATTTTTTTTTCCATTTCGTTCGCAATATATAGTTCATGCAATGTATGCCATTCTCACTCCATTCTTTGAAGTATGAAAGAAAAACGTGTCATGAGACAGAATAAAAGCTCGCAAAATTGGAAGCGCTTAGGTAAAAAAGGACTGTGAAACGACCCAAGTCTGACTCGGTGACTGGCGGTGCAGTTGTCAACTGAATGCAAAATATCGACGGAGCATCATCCAGAGGTGTTGGATGGAACTAATTTGCCGCCTAAATTAACACCACACGAATCATTTGTACTAGTAGAAATTTTCTAAGGGAAAGAAAAACTCGTCAATGATCTCTGTAAAACCGATTCAGGCTTTAAGTAGAGGCCAACGCTGTGATTTGGACAACGAAATTAAGATCAACTATAACGACTTTTCTTAACCAGATCATATCTGTTGACAAATTAATCTTGTAAGCCACCGATTATGATTAATACACGGCTGAGAGAAGAACTGAGCTAGGATTTCGCTGCTGTGATGCGTTGGGCACCGCCGTGAGAAAGTTAATCCTGCTAGTAATCGACTTCACATACATCAAGCTCTTTTGCTTATATCCCAACAATTCCGTGGTTATTTCGCATCAAACCTTACCGCTAGAATTAGCCGGCAAGGGTTTCTGATATTAGAAAGAAACTGCACTGCAATCTTATGATGTATGCCCTTTAGCATTAGCACGAATAGTTAGACGTAGCAGTATTTCCGATTTTTTAACCTTGTTTGAAATATATACACTTATTTCTAAAATGGCACAAGTCATACAGTGCGGAGAATTTTTTTTTGATCAGGTGCTAAACCTATGAAATTTTCAATTTTCATACAAGAGTACTACGAGCTTGCCACCATCAAGCAGGCGATGAAACGAATAGAAGCAAACACTTGTATTCGGTTCTGAGAAAGATACTCTGAGTGGGATTACATCGTTATCTTGAATAAAAGAGGTAAAGGGTAGGTTTCACAACATTAAAAAAAACAACGCTTTACTTAGTATTGAAAAATTTGCACTGACAGTTGAAAAGTGTAGATGAACAGCAATATCGAAGACTCTCATTAAATGAAATTCTTTTTGTTAAACGGCTCTAGCGGTAGTGATTATTTTTCAAATGTACCCATTGATGTAGAGTGATGTGTGAAACTTTGGCGTCAGCCAGGACTAGAACCCACACCTCACTCTTTCCGGGAGCGCTTGCTCTATCCGTTACACTACTGACGCCCATTTTGCAGATCAATCTTTCTATGCTACAGCGCATCTATCTGCCAGCCGCCAGCCGTTAACGGCCTGGTCAACAGTAAGATCAAAAAATCAAGTCTCATTGAAGCTTTAGGTTCGCAAGTTCAAGTGTGAAGTATGATTATTCTTGATGTAAACTCTGTTGAACTTTTTATCTCATCAGTACAACCTTATCCCAACTTGCTCAATATGTGAAAACAATAAACCTATACGGAATAGCGCAGAAAGTCTTGTTCTGCTGACCTTGTAAAATATTAGATGATAAAATTCTTTGTGAACTCCTTTCATTATTATTTGAGCCAACATGTCATGTGGTCTAGTAAGGGATCTTGTACAGCCCGATACACTTATTTCGTCTTTACAGACTCGTCAGTCGGGCAGAACCCGTCGTCTTTCGATATTTTTGAAGTCAGTTCTCTCGGGAGCTCTGCTCCCTTACATAGAGACATGTTGGCTCAAATAATAATGAGAGGATTTATTAATATTTGAGCTTGGTCTTAATAAAGCACTCGAAGGAAAGGTCCTTATGAACTGCTTTCAGCTGTTACACCAGTGTGGGCCGTCAAAATGGTAAAAGCATATTAATGCTTGAAGCGAACGAACAGAGCACGTTAGTACTTTTTCCTTAATCCCAGCAAACAACTACTGCTTAAGAGACATTATGAAACTGTCTTTGAGGTACAAATGCATCTTTTGTCCAGCTAATTAGTGCTCTTTCTCCTCAAACTCAGCCTTTCCACAGTAAAAATATAGCGAATAGTGCATGAAGTAAATGAGTAGTATTTTCCATTCTTTTACTACCATGTTTCATGAAGTAATCAGAGGAACAAGTAGTAAAAGGTTGTAGAAAAGTTCTGTCGCATTTTCATAATGTGCACAAAGAATTTATTTGTACACCAATTAGGCTCAAACCATAGACACATCGATAGAGGAAATAGTTTCCTTCCACATCAAAACAATCAGTCACATATCCGGCAGCTTGAAAATTCCACGGAGGTAAAACTAGGCATCTTTACTTTGGAGAAAATCTGAAGATTTCGCTCAATTTCGGGGACACTTTAGAAGTTCTTGTCTCTCTAAAGGTAACCCTTCGAAAAAGTAAGTGAAAATCACTCAACGCCAGGTCAGGGCTACACGACGAATCTTCCAAAACCTTCCATCTGAAGCTTGCCAAATGATTTTTTGCCGCGTCTGCAGTGCGAGGTTCTACCTTGCCGTGTAAAAAAATAATTGGAGTTCGGCATTTTTGCAGCTTTTGACAGCGGAGTTCAGGATCTGAGAGACCACGGTGTTGAACCAACCCTAGCTATACGAACGCAAATTTGCCACTACACGCCTTGCAGATTTGTCGATGAACCTCAGAAAGGTTGTCTCCCATTTTTTATTGTAGTGTAGCAGCTGACAAATCTCTCTCTTGAACGCTTCCATTCTGAGGACTGTGTAAACAATTAATATATTGTTTGATGCACTGTAAAACGAGCTTTCTGAGGAGCTCAAATTTCGCACAAATTGCAGTGAAAAAATCATTTTCTCAGGCCATATGACAGAACTTTTTTTACAACCTGTTATCTATTGTGAGTGAGCAATTTATCAAGAAATGATAATTTACGTTACCTATTGTGCCTATTGACTACTGAAAGTTGTTGCACCACCTTTAGAGATCAATAAACTGGCGCAGAAGTGATTGCGGTTTCAGATCAGAGCGTCAATTCTTTTACAAATTGCTTTAAATGGGTAATATGGTGAAGAGCTAAACTTTGAGTTCTTTGCAATAACCTTTGTAGTCTTGAAAAGATCAATCTTGGTGGTTGTTCTTCCCATGACTTCTGATAAGGTTGATGCAGAGTATTTGTAGTTGCGATTCATGGCACTGCTGAAAAGTGTCTTCTTTACAGATTTCCTTGAAGCACCACTGCAGTACACACTTATAGCAAGTTTCTGGACAAAATTATCTTTGATGTTGCGAGTTGCCTGCACTAATTTACTATCCATTTGAAACTGAAGATTTCAACCGCAACTACTTTTGCACTGTGAACTTCTTCCACAGCTTATAATAATTATGAGACCAACCGAAAATTTTTTAGAAACCTAACAGCTTCTCAGCGGTGGTATAATGCTGCGAATATACACAATAATGCACAGTGATGTCTATAACCTTGACGTCGGGCGGGAATCAAGCCCGCATCTCACCCTTCCGGACGCGCGTGCTAACCTATTGCACTATCGACGCCTGTTTGCCAGCAATATTTCTACGCTACCAAATAGATGTAAAATGAGTAGCAAGAATAGCCTAGTTAGCAAAAGAATTTAACGAAAAAATGCGTTAAAAATAATAGCAAAATCACATTCATTTGAGAACAAATTTCGCTATCAAACATCGCATTTCAACAATGCATAAATTGGAGTTGCTTTTTACTGACCTAATAAAACAATCCGCCAAATACAAACTGTTGCTTCTCAACTGCGTCTCACAATTCAAACAGCAGTATTGACAAAGCTATAGAATAAGATAAAACACGAATAAGGTTTGATGACAAACACACGAAAACCCTAATGGTATCAAGTCATTTAGCACGTGCTAATTATAGCAGAAGATCTTTCTAAGAATGGTGTCGATATGTCCAGTATTCCTTCAAATCCCACTCTCAATAAAAAACATAAATTCTAATAAGATCTCTATCTATCACGCAGGTATCACTGTGTCTGAGACTTCTCCAGCGAAACACCACTTACGACATCCGAACTCTGCTCGAATGGTGAAAAAATCGTGAGCCATCATACATTTTGTCTCTGTCTGAAAATCGTGTGAATACTTCAACATACTCTCAAAAGTGAGGGAGAAGCAATTGCAATGTGAAAGCGCAGTAGCAAATTTAATGCTGCACTTTTCACCTCAGTATTTCTCACAGTGTTTTATGGAGTAAGTTTATTGAAGATCTATCAAAGTTAACAAGGAGTGATTTTATCATGCCTGATAATCTTTTGAGCCATGCATGTGGTCTGTTATGGGCAAATATAGAGCCCAATACTCGTGTTTGGGCTTTGGAAGCCTCGTCACTTAGGCAGTACCTTTCGTCTAGGCCAATCCTCTTGGGGGAACGCAACCCTCTTACATAGATTAGGCGACGGCGCACTATATACACTTGCCGTCAAGTGAAAGAAATCACAAATGGACAGTATTTCTACACTCGATTGCTCTTGGCTGGTATTTATGAACATTATATAGATTTTTGTTGGTTTAGATGCATGGAAACCCGTATCGTCCAACACGAACTCTTACACGTTATAGGCCTATGGCATGAACATTCGCGAAATGATAGAGATCAATATATCACAGTGTTTTACTAGAATATTGTTCCAGGTTGGTCACCAACGCTAGTTCGTTGGTTATCTTCCAATCTCTCTATAACAGCAATGAGTTCAAATACTTTGCTCGTTTATTTGATTCATTTGTTTTTTGTTTCGAGTGTTTTCTTAAGACCACAGCTCAAATTTCAATATGCCTGGTAATCTTTACTTGAGCCACGCATGTCAGTGGTCTGTTAATGAGGGCTGACTTATACAGCCCGATACACATGTTTCGATCTTGCGATCTCGTCAGTCCGGCAGTTGCCCTTTCTCGTCTTTTGCTAATCTCTGTGGGTGCTCCAGTCCCCACAATAAGAGTTAGCGACGACGTACGATTTACACTCTATGTCCGGTAATAAACTCACCAAACACAGAGTGTTTGTACACTCGAATGCTCGTGGCTAGTATATTCAATATATCATATCTTTTGTTTCGAGTGTTTTCTTAAGACCACAGCTCAAATTTCAATATGCCTGGTAATCTTTATTTGAGTTTTTTATTATTTGATTCTTTTGTCCTTTTTGCAACCAAAATACATAGTAAAAGGAATACTCAAATATCAAAACACTTTTCATTTGAACTCTCTGCTCATTTATTGAAATCCTTCTTCTTCAAAATCGCTTTCTAAAACAAAGCTCATTCCAAGTGGAAGCGATACTGCACAGTCAAGTAGTAGTTCTTAAGTGGATCCGCTGCTCTAATGATCATAATTAGATAAGAATGGAAGAATTTGTCCTATATTGAGTAAATACTAAGCAAAGATCCCTCAGTGTTGGCGAACCAAGCGAAGATTGCCTTAGTATAAGGTTGATCGGAAGTCGGCTAAATACCTGTGTATCATGAGTGTCACTAATGTACTATGCTAATCCACCATGAATGACTTAGCTTTTGGTGTGGCAGAGCACACTGCCGCAAGTGAAGTCGCATACCCAAGGTCGCGTTATATAATGCACACCAGGAGGCTTTGATGACTGTCCAAATTTTGTCTATTTTAAGGCTACGGGGATCAATTTTACAAGGTTTCACCTGGTGTGTAGACAACATACGGCTTACCTTACGATTACACATCGATCATGGAATACACAAAAACAGCTTTTTGCCATGCCGGGGGCGATCACCATGAAGACAGTGGATTACATATTACATATGGTATTAAGATACATGAATATGTATCCTAAAACAAATAGATTTTATAGGTAGATACATGGTGTTAAGATATTTGAAGTTCTCTAAGCAACATTCTTTTGCAGGGGAATGTGTGAAAAACTACCATTTTTTCATTCTCTACAGTCATCTTCTGAACGTTTTTCGAATGGTCGTAGTATACCAAAACAAAAGGCATAAAGAGATTTATAAATGGTTACCTCGTTGCTCAGTAACAACTCTCTTCAGATACAGTCTTTCCGGTCCTATTCGCTCATACACCAAAATTTTGATGGTGTTTTCAGGACGTGATTGGTCGACAAAAGACGCTTCGCGATACGACTATCTAAAAGTTTACAGAATCTACGGATGCAATCAATGTAATGGTGAAAGAGTACGTCCACGAAGAGGCGGAAGTAGCCATGACCGCATAATTTATTTATTCCACGATTTTTCCAGCAGAAAGCAAACAGGCATACTCGCAGATCCTCAAATAACTTTGACTAACTTCGTATTTGCCTACAGCGCATAGAATATAGTGATGTATAGCTTGGGGCACCGTGGACGAATGGTTGTGATGCACGTCGCGGCACGCGTGGCGCCGAGCGCCACTCCCTACTTCTCCCCAGCAGTCAACAACAACGCCCTATGGAACGCCACAGCAAGGCTATCCTTGATATTGCAAGGAAACTCGCTTAAGCAGTGTTCTACGCCATTCAAGAAGAAAATGAAAAAAAAAACGAATTGAATGCTAGAAGTACTGAGGCGCGCACAGCGAAAGAAAACACTGTGAGGACGGATTATTCAAAGTGTTAGAAAGTAAAAAATATATAGCACAGAATTTTCATCAGTTTTCAAAAAACACCAAATTATAATTTTTTGTCTGACAATCTAAAATTGTCAACGTTACTTTTGATAGATAAAAAATGACTGTGGCAGGACTAGGTAGAATTGACAAACATCTGAAGTATTTCAATACCTTTTACAGAATGCGTGGGCAAATTCCCACGATTGTGTGATGCCGTAAAAAAGTACAGACTGTTGAACTGCTCTGGAAATGTTAAGGGATACTGCTATGCCACTTGCAAGACTATGACCTAATGAGGAGTCAATCTATTTGGATCTCCGTACGGTGATTACTACGAAGATTTAAAAAATGGTTTCCTTAATCACAGAGCTATGAAATGTTGCACTGTATGTGTTTTACATTTATTTCACACACTAGTGCAGAGAAAAGTGCTTTTCCAAAGTAAATTTTTTCCTTTCATTTCGAAAACATATAACCTCATTCTGGAGTAATTGCACTTGCATGAAAAAAGCTTCCATGACACTAATTCATTACTTGGAAAATTTCAGCTGGAGTAAGATTCTATGACAGTGTTAGTGAAGAGTCGATTGTGAATTGTAATGAAGTGCCGGTCGCGGGTACAACCAGTGAAATGCTTGACCCTTCGCAAAACACTAACGCTGCGCGCTTTGTGGTCTACTCGAAGGTGGATGCTGAACAATATTGGAGCAAGTGTGCAGTGATTATAGAAAGATTCACCTGGCACATTGTTACTTATTGTTCAAGTCGATTTCCTTATAAAACATTCGCTCTTTAATTTAGAATTACCTGCATAAAAGGACGTCAAATCAATAGCCGCTTTACGTTAGTAGTAGGTCTGTCCGCTCAACTCTTGCAGGAATCATGGCCAATTAATGAAGAAATTTTTGCATTGGCTAGTTCAGTGGATAATGTTGTCTTCTTGTGATCTGCTGATAAGGTCACTGTCCTCCTGCAATCCCCAAACTCCACCAACTGGAATTTCACACGCCATTAATAAAGCGCGTACTTTTTAGTGGTTCGTGCTGCCGTGAAATACACAGAAGGACTGCTTCTAGGCTGATCCCGCGCTCTGATCTCACCGAGCATTCCATATTCAGGGATCGGCAAGATGACATCAGACCTGTCTGAGACGATGAAGGCAACTTAACACATCACCAGGGCACCGCAGCTACTTAATTAGGAAAAAATATGCTGTTCCATTACTTCTACGATGGTTCGAGAAAGATTTTTGAACCTTTCTATGAGGTCTACTATAGCACTTATACTGTACTAGACACATATTTCGCCATTACAGGTTCATCAGTAGTACGGTGCCTTCTGGATCAATCAATCCCTTAAGCTCTCGACTGTTTGACACTGCAATATCGAATGAACTGATTACTAGACATGAGGTGATCAAAAGAATTCGGTGTCGATTTCTCTATAAGTAAAGGGTATATCCGCCTGCAAAGTATTGGATGAACCGGAAGGCACCGAGCTACTGATGAGCCTGTAATGGCGAAACACGTGCTAGCAGTATATAAGTGCGTGACCTCATATAAAAGCCCAGAAAAATGTTATCAGGCCATCAGATTATTACTATTCTGAGCAGTCTATATAAACATTCGAAAGTAAAGATGCTTCTACGATGTTACATCCTCAGTTGAATGCATAGCTAGCCCAGTAACTGAAAATTTCGAACGACTCTTCATTTGCGCAAACATCTAAAATTAATAAAAAATAAAGCCATTGTTTGGAGAGTTAATTAACATGTGTAAAGTATTATCGATTCTAATGAGAAGAGCGAAGTGTACCTCATGAATACTGAGATATGAGCAGAACTAGGAATCTGATGCTTTTATTCCATGAACTCGAACCCTCATATACCTTTTCGGAGAAGTATCCGCTAGCATGGCCCCATCGCCCCCATCG